GAGAGAGACGAGGCGACAGTTTCCTTGTGGAGAGCCCGAATAGACGACCGAACGTTGCGGCTGGGTTCAGGAGCGTGGTAACCGTGGGGATTAGGATGGGCGGGTTGCAAACAGGTCCATCAGCACTGCTGGCCGAGGAGTGTGTTGTGAGGGGCGACCGGCAGGACAGAATCTTCAGCACGACGATGATCAATAGGCGACATTTAATAATAACTCGTGATCGTGCGGAGGGCAGCGTTCTGTGCTGACTGAAGGCAACGAAGGTTGGAAGAGCTGATCGTAGGAGAACAGATTGGTGCCGCATAAGTGAGGGGCGGCTTGGCCAGCGCTTTGAATGTGGTCGTCAAAGTCCCATTCGCGCAGCCCCAGGATGTGCCCGCTAGAGCCTTGAGGACCTTGTTGCAGCGGCTCACTTTGCCTGCGACCTCCCTGGCATGGTCCGCGAACGTGAAAAACGGATCGAAACGCAAGTCAAGGAGCTTGGGCCTACGGACGAGCGGTAAAGACGCACCATTGTCGGTGAGGGCCGGGTGACGACTGAACTCCTTCGGGTCCAGCGTGAAAACAATGACGGATGACTTGGCTGCCGAGATCGTCATTCCACGCTGGGTAAAGAAGTCTTCGACATCAGGCATGAACTCCGAGAGGAGCTGCGCAGCTTGATGGATATAATGGTGCCGGCAGAAGAACGTAACATCGTCCACGTACGATATTACTCGCGCAGCTGCCCGGAGGAGTGCGAGTTTTCGCATGCAAATGTTAAAAGAGCGACCAAAATAGAGGTAGCAGACCTTGGCGCCCATGTTGTACACTAGTTTGATCTGTATACCTACTGACACCGGCTCCGTTAAGACGCCCCTCTTGTTCTGACGCAACAGTGCCATCGAATTTGGGAGTCAGCGGCTACTTCTACTTTCCGCTTACCGCGAGAACTTAGGGATGCTGCCCCCCTGGCGTCCTCACCACCGTTATCTGCGACTGTTTCTGATGATGAGTTTGAGCGAGACTCCGAAAGGTTAGACCAACAAACGCCATGTTCTAGCGATCGCATTTTCTTCTATAGTGCTGTTGTGATTTTACGTTTCTCTCTCGGCAACTGCTCGGAAGCGGCCTGTTGAGAAAAGGTTTTCTCGACGGGGCGAACTTCCATCCCTAGCTAGAAGGAATATGCAAACGGCCAGTCGATTGTACACGTGCATAAATTAGGGTTCATTATTGCCTGAACCAAATATTCCCCAAGTAGACTACTTAAAACCGCCGCAGACCTGCTGGTTCTTCCGTGTTTTTCTGCCTTTCCCGGGAGAACGTGGCAAATTATACTCCCATGCTCTTGGAGTTTAGGTTGCTCCTCGCCGCAGTTAAAATATGGAATTCCATTGACCAGAAAAATAAAATTTTGAAGGGCAAAATAGAATTTTGGCCTCGCTTCGCTGAACTCCATAAGCGCAGAGAATTTTTTTGTTAACTAAGGAGAATGTAGACATCTCAAAAGTACTTTATTTTTAGGGAAAGTGCACATTTCTTTTGCATTTCTCGGCAAAGTGCATGAATAAACGATGACCTTGCCTACGCAAGGACGTTAAAACTGATGGTACTGATGAAAAGGAGGGGCTTTTAGCGGCGGAGACATCCTCCATATAGTCAGCCCTTGCGTTATCTGGGTTCTGTTCATTTTGCGTCACTTTGTCTGCAGGTCCTGGTTGAACATATGGTGGTGCGGTATTTTTATCGTTTACAGAACGCGCCTCCAATCATTCACAAACTTGTTTTAGCTTATCTGTTGTCATCAAACATTAAGTTGACCGGATATTTCTCTACATCCATTCACGTAAGTCTAGCTCTTTTACGCGCACTCAAAGAGCGAAGCTGGTCAGGCAGGCCAGTCTTGGAATAACAGACGTCTGCTCTTTTAAAAGACATACAAACAAGAAACCGCCCTTTTCAGACAGTCGAGTAAAGCATCGACAAATCACAGAGCTACGATTCAGAGAACGTGCTTTGTTAGATGGCGTCAGAAATTACCTCAGATTTCTATGCCAGTAAATACTGAAGTAAAGTTATACGATTACGTTGAATGAACGTTGCTATTTTATACGTTTTTAAAGGTTTCTTTAGACTGCCTGCAGAACGTTTCTAAAATACCGTAAAGGCAAGGCGAGAAAATGGGGACGAAATGGACTCTGCGAACTGCTCAGTAACCATTGTTGGCATCCTTGCTGCTGTGTCTCCTGTCTTCTTGCTCAATGGCTCTAACCTAAGACACTGTAGCGACCTTGTACAGGTGCATGTCCCGATATCTGGCTTTCCGGTCGTGGCCTCAATCCGTGTA